CAACAACAACAACAACAACAACAACAACAACAACAGCAACAGCAATTAACAGCAACAACAACAACAGCAGCAGCAGCAACAACAACAATAACAACAACAACAAAACGGCAGCACTGCGAAGCAGTAGTTATAGCCAAAACAGCTTTTTAATAGCTTTATCTTTTAACTTTATAGAATAAGGATAAATTTTATAAGATAAACATAAAACAAAAAACCTTTTGTATTTGAAAATATTTCATAAACACCAGCCCTAGTTTAGTGTTGGCCGGATGAGTTCTCTCCTACGTGCTTTCGCTCAGACAATCTCTTTTCTAGTAAAGTATAAGGTACGTTATAGACAAAAAACTTCACTTAGCAACAAGTTTTGGTTTTGTTACAATAAAAAGGATACTTAAGTGTTTCAACCTAGATTGATATCTGATATGCCACTTACACACACACTCCTCGCAATGTTCTGAAAGGGAGGTCACGTGATCTTCAGGCCCTCAAGGGCCGTGTCGTTTATTTATTGACAAGACAAGAGAAATTAAAATAACCGAGATAAAGAATGCAATACTATTAGCAGAGAAAACAATGAGTCAAGAAAACAAGGTATCTATGTCGCTTTTCTTTAAGAATTATCCTTTACAATGGTCAAAATATTAACAAAAAATACTGATTAATTTTGGAAATGATTTAATAATTTAAATGACCAGTAACTTAAAAAAGATTATATCGGAAGAAACTTGGTTCTACCCAGTATTCTCGATCAATATTAGGACTGTCAATTTGGTTAATTCTAAATTTACTTGTCTTCTTAAAAAGCCGCAGTTTCATGAAACCACAAAACAAAACAAAATTGGAATTATTTTGTTCATTCCTTTTAATAACTCTTGCATTAAGTACAAGTGTGGGGATAATATATTTAGAAGCGTGAAGATATGAATGTTTTGATGAATGTTGTTTAGTTAGCTAGGATTAGAGTCCAAGACTTTCCGAATAAATTCGACAAGGATTGAAGTTTTAATGTATTTAAGAGCCTCTCAATACTACGCAATCCTAATGACTTACAAACCGATTCAATTACATCGGGCATTTTTCCCCCTCTTTTTCCTGTGTCTTCCATTTTTCAACGCAAGATAGATAAGTAGTACTCGATATCATTCAAAAAACATTTCTCAAAAATTTCTCATTTGCAGACACCATTTTCAGTTCGAAATACAAAAAGTCACAATTACAGAAAAAAAATAGAAGTAATTTATCAACAAAAATTCTTATCAATAGATAAGGATACCTAATTTTAATGCGAGCTTTTACGGCCGAAATAACTCATGATTTGCTTCCGTTTCAAGTCAATAACTGGCATGGTTGAGTATGGTTATCATTAAGAGACAATGGCATAATATTGTGAGGATTCGTCCCACATCATCGGTCTTATTTTGATCGCTACATAGCGTCTTCACTCCTAGACAGCCGTAGAAAACACTTGAGAACCTGGAAATTGCTGAAAATGTTTTCAAAAGAACTACGTTTATATGTCATGTTACTGGTCAACCTTGGGTGGACACTCCCAGCTCTTACAGGTGAGTTGATCAAAAAAAAGAAATAATTTTTTTCATCATTTATTCCTCGCTTGGTTTAATTGTGAAGGTTTTATTCTCTTAACACATCTACTCTTGAAAAACTACGCCAGTCTGTCTTCGCTCTCAGAGAATCCTCTTAAAGAAAGCAGATTCAATGGCAATAAAAAGCATTTTTCARGACAGCTTTCTTGTCAAGTTAAAAATAAAAAAAATCCAACTTACAAATGGCACAACCCTTAGCAATTCTATATTGCATCGACAAAATATGTTTAAGATTTTTATACTTAGTATTTTATAAATTAGGACATCTTTTGTGATATTTTAGTCTCTCAATCACTAAGTGTAAATAAATATATACTTTAGCTAAGCAGTATATTTTTCTGAGCAGCAGGAACTTGACAACAATGTAAGTATCTGCAGGTTTCTCATAATGAAACAAGATGTTATCAATAGTTCGTTTTCTTTTCTTGGCGTAATTATGACTATTTATTCTGGAGCCAGAGTATATTTTCTCCAGGTGAAAACGCAGAAGCCCAGATTGAACAAAAGTGGTACATTGAAGTGAAGGAAATCCTATAATGACAACAGATCAAATTTCATTCATTTGTTCTCGCTTTAATACAAGGCGTTTAGTACAGAGCGATGTTTATACAGTTTTTTAGTTTATAACTTCATCGATAACTTGTGAAATAACAGCTAATCGACAAAACGTCGTCTAGAATTCGTGTTTTATTTATCGAATCTTTGGTTCTAGTAACCGCGACAATCGAAAATTACATGCAAAACCAATTCATTTCCCCCGGCATTGACGTGATATCACCAACCAAGTTCTATTCTTTTCGGTTTTAAACCTTCCACCTTGATCTGAAATGTGGCACAAACTAATTACTATTCACCAAGGTTTGTTTTAAAAACAAACTGTTCTTAAAAACCCCTTTTCTTCTCTACTGTGAAATTAATTTCCATTTATTTTCACGTTAATTTCTTCTAGAGATATATTTTGTATATATGAATGGTAATGCGTTTCCCCCCTGAAGACATTAGCTTACGAACTGAACAATTTGCGCGCACGTTTTCTAGTTTGAGTAAAGATCTATAAGTCCATTACTTCTAAGGTTACTAGAGCGTACTTATTTAATAAATTAGCACCAAAGAACACATTGTCTTGACTCATTAGTAGCACGTAGACATCCGTTCTTACCATAACCATAGAAATTAAAATATCCTACGTTATAAAGTACATATATTTAGTAGCACATTGTATCTGCTTTAAAACAAAAATACTGTTACTGCATCTGTAACAAGCCAAGTAAGCCAAGGCGCGTAGGTTGTTGATTCTACATATTTATTGGTAATGATGTCTTTGAATATTCCAAGTAGATTTTGAAGGATTTTTATTTATCTTTCGTATATTGGTCGATAAAAAGTAGCGTGAATAAACGTGGTTGTCTAATAAGCCTATGATTCGATTGACAGTCTTTTGGCATTACTAGAAAAAGCCTCGGCAAAGTAGCACGTTATATGAATGATAAAAAGAGCTCCTAAAAATTGTCATTAGACTAGTTACTATTAAAAAGCCGACAAAAGGCACGGCCAAAAATCCACAATCTTTGATCTCGATCCGCGGTGGTAAAAGTCAAGGGACGCATGCAAATCTTGCTTACTTAATTCATTCTCTTAGTTTATTCAGTATGAAGAGAGATGGACGCCGGTTCTTTGACCAAAGCAATGAGATGAGTACCATATTTATTCAAGTTTTATCAGAGTTAACTATGAATTCATCTTAAAGAATCTTAATATGTGGAAGAGAAATATATGAGAGCTGGATTTTGTCGCTCTCTTCCCCGGCGTAGGAAAGATGAGTTGAAAATCCAATTTCTTTACTATCTTATTCTTCCTGTGATGGTGCTTCACAGTACTTTGAACTCACCGCTCTGTGCGGTACGTTGATAACGGAGAAATGCTTAGTGGAGATAGCATTGAAGATGCTGGTGCATATCAGTGATAATATGAGTTCTTTTTATTCATACTGAATTGTTTATCGTTAAACATCGAATGCCTTGGAAGGCATATTATAATGCGGTGCTAAAAGTAAAGTTTGTATCGCACTGATATTTTATGCTCAGCTTATAGAACAATTGAATAATGCTCATGAGAAATCCAAAAACAAGATACAAGAATTGGTAACATTTTGCTTACTGCCAGCAACATAAAGCTATATGGGCATTAGTCATATACCCGGTTCGTGCAGTTATTTAAATATAATGCACGGCAAATGCATGGTACTTGATGCTGCGCAACTTGTGTCAAGGTGTTTCATTTTGGATGACTCCTCACTTGAAGGAGTTTGGTTTATTTTAATAACAGTATTTATTATTTATCATGCGCACTAAACTAACATAGAATATAATCAAACGCGCAGAAGACTCTGTTAAACTAAGATAAAGATCTCAGTATTCTCCCTTCCTTCCTTCCTTCCTTCCTTCCTTCCTTCCTTCCTTCCTTCCTTCCTTCCCCCTTTTCCACCGTCAGTCTCATCATCTGCTCTCCTCCATCCCTCTACAATAATTGATGCAAACCGATAGAAATAAATCCTACATATACTGCTATTTTCAAATGCTACAAAATGTCAGTGCATACTGCTATATACAAGAATACAAGGCTGTATAATATGGAATACTACCTTTTCCTGATAAAACACCACATACCACATACCACTTCAACTACACCACAATATTCCATATACCAAATGCAACACTAGATAAAAGTCGGACTACTAAAATACCTCTGCCGGGTTTTCGACGAATATGTAGATATGATTATGAGTACACAATAAATTATATTAACGGTGCCGGGTTTGCCTTGCCTCTACTCTACCCCCTAGAATGTTCTGATGCTCAGTACGATAAGTTACACCGAGATATCAAACTCGAGCGCAGACAGAAAGGAGACAAAATAATAATCACCAAATGAAATATTCACCAACAAATTAAAGAATTGATGAAAAACGTATGCATTTTTTATAAAAGCTGTCAAGATCAAAGGCACTATATTTAAGTCTAATTCGATTTATCTGACTCCGCCAACAAGTTAATATAGACTGTTTAAAGATTATAATGAGTTTAATGGAGTTCCCAAGAAAGGCTCCGTCTTAATTTTATTTTGCCCCTACAGCGTAACTCCCACAGCGAGCCCTTAGATTCAGCTACTCCAGGTTTCAATTAAACGGATTAAAAATGAATAAAAACTGTTAAATTGATCTAAAAGATCTGAATTTTTGTGTCCAAAGCTTTAAATTAAGCGTGGGTGGGCATAAATACTCATTTCTGTGAGCCACGTTTAGTATCCGAACATCAAGTAGACGGATCATGCACTAAGCAAGAACAACGCCAACAGTTAATTCTATGCCATACCTGATTCATATTAATGTTGTTTTCGTTTCTTGAAGGTAAAGAAGCGTGTTCTTGTTATTCTTTCCATGGTGATCTTCGTCCATGGTATCTGAGCCGACAGCACTGCCTGGATAATGGTGGTGACCTGGTCTCCCTGGAAACGATAGAGGAATGGTCACGAATCAATGATGAGATACAGCACAGGACTACAGATAAGTGTGGCGACAATGAATGGCATATTGGGTTGACAAACGTAACAGGAGTGTGGAGATGGGTGAATAATATATCACTGACATACGATCGATGGCAGGATGGGGAACCTGAATTCGTTACAAATAAACCATTCGTTATCATGGCAAAGAATTGGCCAATAGGAACGCAGGGATTATTCAATAGCTTGAGGGAGGATATTCCTAGAGCGCGAATATGTGAATATAAAAGAAGTAAGTTACGAACTAGAAAATGCTCGATTAATAAACTTTAAAATCAATATCAAAAAAATTAGCTCTCTGCGCATGCGCATTAAATCCTGTGTAAAAAGGCAATAGTAAGGTGCTTTAGTAATCTTCATTTCCAAACCTGGAAGTTTTTTCTTTCAAATCTGTAGGAATTGCGCAATTGCGAGACAAATGGCGCTTGCTTATCTCAACGTCATACACGAAAGTGGAAAGGTCATGTAAAATAAAGTTATATGCGATCCTACTGACGTTGTGCACCGTATTCTACAAGGCTCAGGTCTAAGTACAATGAGTTACACTTTTTCGCTCTAACGATGTTGATTTAAAATTCAAAATGCTTAGCATCTGAAACTAGTAAAGTACTTTGTAAACTCGTGTCCATAAACACTAAATAAAGTTTCATTTACTTGTTTCAAGGTTGCGTTTCAATTAAAGAAACTTGTAGAAAACTGACAGCAAGAACTGCAGGATTTGCGGTTACCACTCCAAAAACAATGCGCTTATCTACAGGTATGTGCATGCAGAATGTAACAAACATAGAAATATGAAATTGATAAAAATGATAAAAAATATTTGAACAATTTTTGATTTATGATTTTTAGCTTCGTTTTCGACATACATGACGAAACGAACCACTCCCCAGTACAAGACAGATCCTGGTTAGTAAATAGTGTATGGGAATAAATATGAAATATATATTTGTACTGCGGTTGTAATGTATCAAATTGAGCTGATCCTCGCAGTATATGAAGCAACTTATGCAGCTGCAAATTGAAAAACTCAGACAAATTTCTGAGTCTTGAACGGTAAATAGTCATATGATAGTCTTATGATTGGTATCTTATGATAGAAACTTTGCTTGTTCAGGGGAGAGTGGTGAAGGAACATAGGGGTGGAGTTTTAAAAGGGGTAGGAAGTGGAGAGTGGGATAGATGTCAATAGGAAGGAGGGTTAGAAAGAAGTAGACGATYGGGACGACTAGAGGATGAGAACGAAAGAGAATGGGAACCGGAAATCAGGTTTCAATACCTAAGAGATGGTAAAAAGTGGCAGCGCTAGTGTTGTGGACCATTACGCTCTTTAACGTGTAATCCTAATCTTGTTTATTTAAGTTTTAAATGGCGAAAACCCAACCAGTAAACCAAACTCAAAAGCAAAAGAAAAAACACCTTTTTATATTATCGTGGTCATAATCATCCTGGGCGCACTTATCTTCTGTTGCTGTTGTATCGTTGTCGTCGCTTTTAGACGGAAGAAAAAACGAAAAAAAGGTAATAAAATAAACTCATTCATTGACTCATTTTTTCTACCTCTCCCTCCACAAGTGCTTAACCTGAGATTAACCCTTAGTGGGCTCCAGTGAGATTATTTAAATATTAAGTATTATTAAAATAATAAAAACAATAAACAATAAAACAATAACGCATATCAATAAATTATAAATGTTTTTTTTTTTTCAGAGAAAAACAGCAAAAAAGAGGACAAGTAAGTAAAGTTTCTTGTCATCATTAACTCGAAAACTTTCCATGAAAATTCCCCCAAAAAGCGTTAAAAATCATTATTATATATATAATAATTATAATTGATATAATATCATTAATATTATATTACTAGTAATATTTTATTATTTCTCCTAACTGATATTGATGCTACTTGTATTATACGTTTTAATAGAACAAGTAATGAAGCAGCAATCAAAACGCACGACTCTTCAGAAAGAAGTAGCGACTCAGATGAGTTTGACGATTCTCAGCAAGAGGCAGGGGAGAAAGAATTGTCAAATTGTCTAAACGAATCCAACGTTGCCATAAGTTATACAAACTCGCGCGACGATTATACAGCCTTACCACTGAGGCACGAATACGCTGAAATAATGATTATTAAAGATGACGATAACGGTGGTGGAGATGAATGTGATGGAAGAGAGAGGGCTAAACATAGAGTGAGGTTCGTTTGCGACGAAAATGAAAGACTGAAAAATGAATGCATTAGAAATGGGAAAAGAAACCATTCAACGAGCGAGGATTACAACTCAAATGGGAACTATTTAGTAGAAAACTGTAAGAAACATCATGGAAATAAGAAAAATGGGAGCCCAGAGACAACGAGTCCACCAACGGTAAACTACAGAAAGCTAAAAGGACTGTTAAAAATAAGCGAAAACAATGATCCACGAACCGTGGAAAGAGAACAACAAGAAGACAATCATGATATGGAGATCGTGAAATTAGACATTGCCGTTCCAACGAAAGAAGCCCAGTACGCGAGTATAGTTGAGATTCACCCACACGAACACGACTCCATTATAAACAAAAAACCCTTCCTGAAAACGTTTGCGCCGGTTAATGGTTATCGTCATCAGAATGAAAGAAACTTTGAAGGATATGAACAGAATGAAACAAATTACGAACAAAATAGCAGAGATTTTGAACATTATGAACAAAATGGTAGAATCCTTGACCAGTGTGAGCAGAATGGAAGAAACTGTGATGAAAGAGACTTATATACGTCTGTTGATAAATCGGTCCACAACGCGCATACTCGACCTCATGAAGAAGTCTATGCTGTAGTAGACAAGAGTAAGAAAACTAACAAGGTAAGGTTGAATCTGAGAATAGTGGCCTCGGGACGAGCTACTCAACTACAGGGAATTTTTGTTTTCTTTCGACTGAGCATGTGCAGTTTCTCATATTGCGGCTTCCTTTTGCTGTGCCGTCATCATAGTCAAGTTGAGTTGAGAACGCCATTTTACCTCATTTTCCGGTTTGCAGCGTTAGAGAAGCGCGTCTTTTCCCAGTTCTCCGCTCCTGGTGCCGTTACCGTACCTTAAGATGTCTTATCTGTTTCAACAAATATCGTCATTGTTAAGTTGTGATTTCACAAACCCATTTACTAAATCTGCTCGACTAATATCAGGCAGATGTACGTATGGGGTAGAAGAATATATCGCGTTTGATATTCCGAGCACTAGACTAATTGGAAAGATTTTGTATTAGGAGTCCAGTTTTTCGTGGAAAAATCGTGATCTTTGACAAATCTCTATAATCTTTTTAAATAAAATCTAATTCTTCGTTAATGCCTTTTAAACACAAGTATTATGTTCCCTGTCACGAATAAAAACTACTCACAACTACAGCACTATAGATACGTAATACTGATAGAATACATGCCATGTCTATTCAGTTCTATGTGTTCAAACATTATGTGCGCAATGGGTTATGGGACACAATGGGGCCCAGAGACCTCTCAGTTATAAGAATTTTCTTTTTCTCATTCACAGAAAGCAGCATATTCTAATGTACGAATGAACTACGTAGAATTAGCAGATTTCGACAAAAATGCAGCGCTGTATACGAAAATGCCACCTCGTTACCAGCCCACAAGATACACAGAGGTGGAAATACCTATTGAGTGGGACTAGGAACTACCAATGACTTCACTCAGTTAACTTAGGAAATCTAGAATGTTACGTTACAGTAACGCCCTTACCTCCTTACTTGAGCGGAAATGAACGAATATGGTAATTTGCTATCAATAGAGACGTTATTTCCGGTCTCGTATGGAAATTCAGTTAAATGACAGAAGTTAAATGACAAGTTTTCGAAAGAACTGTGGATTGACGTGATAATTGAACATGGAGGACTGTGTTTTCTTTGACTTGTGGTAGAAAAAGAAATGATAATCAAGGTGTGACTTGAAATAATTTGGTCCTGATTTTTGAAAGGAAAACAGGATGTATGAAAACAGTTTTCTTCTATTCTCTCTTCTTTTCCTTTTTTGCTGAATGCCCCTCTTTTTATCTCCTGATATCCCTCGATCCTGGATAGTTTGACCCAATCGAACCAGAACACTAACGTGATTTAGAACAACAACGACTAAACATGAAAGATTAAGACTATACGAACAATGACCAAGGAATTTTATACAAACGTCATGACAAGTTATGTAATCATAAACAGAGCTATAAGAATTTATACAGAATATAATGATTTCTAATAAAATAGTCCCATACATATGTGATAGATGAGATAAACGAGATATATACATAAGTGATTGCTAGTATTTCCCCAAACGAACCTTATATGCTTCAGCCAAGGAGGAAATTTTTATGCCGGCATAAAACGGAAGGGAGGGGAGGGTGAGGCTGTGTGTGGATTTGCCGATTTATATTATAAAAATTACTGAAAATATGCTATGAAGATTAGACAAGAAGAAAAGGCGATGCATGTCGTAGAAAAGAAGACGTTAATGAAATGTATTTAAAAAAGGAAATAAACGAAAATAAAAGTAGATTTAATTGTTTTCAAAGTTCAATATTATTTGACTAAATACCACAAGTCAATCAAATAAATAAATGGCTCGTTTCAGTTTCACTGATAGAATACCTGCATGGCTGAATGTTACGACAGAATGTGTCTGCCAGAAAGTGATCGCGTATAACAATGAACTATGATGGTTCTAACTTATTCTTATTAGCGAACACTCCACCAAACTTCATTCATAATAATCGCTTTTTTGACGACGTCTTTTCCCTCCGTCTTTCGGCCACTTCCTCAAGAACTGAACTCTACTTGACATTTCATTGTCTTTCGTCTATCAGAACGATTCAACTGCCTTATAAGAAAAACTTCCTATCGGGCCCAACCACCACTGAAATATCAATATCCGTTCACTCCCATAAACCATCGGTCTGCTCCTTCGTACCACGATTGACCGTAAATATCCACTATTTGCTGTTGAAATGTTTGATTAGTCTAAGACAATATTTTCACATCCGTATCTTTTAAATACAATATTGTAAAAGAAAAAACGTTTTAGGTTTGTGTCGTAAAATGAAACAAAAAGTTCACTTTTTGAGAGCTCTGAAGATCTTTTTGGCTGCGTAGTCGTAGCAAGAAAAAAACTTTTTAGGTTTGTGTCGTAAAATGAAACAAAAAGTTCACTTTTTGACAGCTCTGAAGATCTTTTTGGCTGCGTAGTCGTAGCAAGAAAAGACTTTTTAGGTTTGTGTCGTAAAATGAAACAAAAAGTTCACTTTTTGACAGCTCTGAAGATCTTTTTGGCTGCGTAGTCGTAGCAGTACTTACAAAACAAATACATTCCTAAGGTAAAACTGGACGTGGGTGAAACTACTATCACAGGATCCGGTTGGCCCTGTTTTAACCAGACCACTTTTTACCTTCGGAACTATTTCAGTCCCCTATTTCACAAGTTAATTAAAAATACTGGACCATGGCCACTTTTCTTTAACTGAAAACCGGCCGGACCACTCGGTCTAGATGGTGGCTACGGGCCTGTATCACAGGGACTACCATCACCTTATTTGCCTCACCGAACTACAGATGCCTGCCACATTAGGTACACTTCGTGCCTTTCCCACAAATATCTAAGAATTCGTTTCCTGTTTTTGGCGTCATTTCCGCCAGGAAAAAGCGTAATACACGAGAAGAAGCTGTAACGTTGTTCAGAGGAGGATACACGGCTATATGAATAATACCCTATACGTTTTTATACTTCAAATCCTAACTCCATTTKATAGATAAAGGAGCAGTGAAATACAACAGCGGATTTTTGACTGATCATGACACGAACCTACTTGGAAGCAGTCAGCATACCACTGATTCTGATTTGGATGACCTTGATTGATTCCGGTGAGTAAAATCAGCCCATATTTACCGCTAACTTATACAATATAAAATATAACTTAACTAGAAACTGTTTATTCTTTGGTGTTATTTATTGGACTTAGAAATCAAGTTTCCTACACCGAAAATAACCATTATTTATCTATTTGAATGCCGTGTTCGTGTTCAGTAATGCTTTGACCCTTCAAAGACTCTGAGTAAAACAATTTCTTGAGTCAATATACTGTAAAATAGCTGTTATTTAAGTCATTGGTATGATAATCAAAATTAACTTATATAATGTTCTAGCTGTGTCTACAGTAAAATTTATTTCAAAATACTATCAGGGCAAATAATGTTTCCAAGATGCTGTTATTCCAAAATGCTGTTATTCCAAGATGCTGTTACACGGGGCATGACTCGACTGTCTCTGACAAACTAGTCATGTGAATCGATGTTGACGAAAAATACAATCAAAATAAGTGTCCCACTTGCCTTAGCTGAATTAATAGATAATAATATTTACTCTGAACTGCAATGAACTTGTGGACGTTCATGGGCATTGTTCGCGCGCATCCTTTCTGCGCCCGAGTTTTGTGTGGTAATCGTGATGACGTCATTATAATGTTTCCATGGACGAAATACCCTGGTATTAAGAAAACTAGTAGTTCGCTTCTTCAAGCTCTCATAACTCTGAAACAAAGTTGGTTAACCCCCTTTTTTTAGTTCGTCTTTTGAAAGTAAGAGTAAAAAAATCTGGCCTTGGGATCAAATCGGAATCACATATTTTAGTGCAAAACTGGAATATAATTTCACGTAAAGCTACACTTATTGCATGCCCAATAATAATAATAATATTATTACTATTATTAATAATATTAATAATAATAAATTCATTTGTAAAGCGCAAATTCAACATACGTTTTCAAATGCGCTGATAATATTTACTCTGCCCAATAGCATTTCATATTTCATTCGGTCCATTTCTATAGTTCTGTGAAAAATGGGGACGATCGATTGACCTTTCAGTAAAATGGCTTGTTTATGACAGCTTTCCATGTAATCGTTGTTCGCGTGTTTTTTACTACATAATAAATACGTAATAATAATATTACTACGTAATAATAATAATAATAATAATAATAAATGTATGACCCTACATCTTAGTTGTCATTATAAGATTATGTATAACCGTAATAATAATGATGATGATAATTACCTTATGTGTTGCACATTTCAGGTTCAGCCCAGTGTTCTTGCTATACGTTTGATGGAGCGCCTCTCAAATCGTGGTCTGAAAGTCGAAAACTGTGTACGGATAATGATGGAGAACTGGTTTCTATGGAAACATTAGAAGAATGGGAGTTTATCAAGACACAGATACAAAGTAGGAAAACAGATAAAGATGGTTACGATGAATGGTGGATTGGTCCAGAGAAGAGAGATGGAAGATGGGAATGGCTGAGTAACCACTCCCTGACATACAACAAGTGGCAATACAATAAACCTGATGATTCGAATAAAGACTTAATTCATGTAATAATGGCAAAGAGTTATCCACCAGGTACCTATGGGCTATTCCGCAACAAAAAAAGTGATTCGCGAAAAGGAACGATATGTGAATACAAAGGAGCAGGTAACTGAATATTTACTTTTTCTCTGCCCACTATTTCACTAAAACTATCCACATGATTACCAATGCCTCCTTACTTATTAAAAAGCCCTCAAGGGAATGCAACACAAGCAACGTGAAGACTAAAAGAGAAATTAGAGATACATACATGCACTCACTCACACCTTGCAAATCCCCACGACCAAAACCTGTTTGTGGAGAATTGTGAAACACTTCGATTTCGACAACTGTCTACCTAGAATCCTACGCAGACATTCTTATGATCGTTACGCAGCGTTTCGTGACGACCCTAAGGACGTTTAAGTAGAAAGCCTGAAAGAATTATATAAGCTTCGTTTGGTTTCTTCTAGTTCAAACCTAATCGATACCCTCTGGAATTAATAAGACTTTCGTATGCTATAGGTTTTGTGAGGGGGAGGGGGGGGGGGGAGGGGGGGTAAACCGGACAACCCGGAGAAAAAACCCTCGAATCAAGGGTGAGAGCTAACGAACTCTACTTACTTGTGATGCCGAGTCTAATAGTCGAACCTGAGTCCCCAGGGTACTTCCAGAGACCCCACAGGTGAGTTCACTTCCTCTGAAACCACCCTTAATTTCATTTCTCTATTGTTACGTGCGCTGCTATCAATGAATACAAACTGTAGTAATTCGTTTCACCTTTACTCGAAAAGGGTACAGTATGAGTTTACCTTTAGAGGGAAACTATCAAGTGGGACGCAAATTCCGTCTTTTTCCCGCCATTTTCCCTTATTGTCTATTATTTCTTTCTCTTTTCCCCTTATTGATGTTGTATTTATTATATTTTTGAAGTGAATTAATTAAATGAAATTAATTAAGTTTCAAATTATTAATGATTATCCAGAAAAATGTATAAGCAGTCTAAAAAGAGTGAGCTGGTGTTATCCAACGACAGAACCTCCCAGCAGAAGCACAATGACAATGACTAACACTCCATCTCAAACTGCAAAGATGAGTACCACAGATATAGTGGGTAAGTCTATTCAAAGTCTCCATTTTTTGTCCCTTTTCCACATGGTATGTGTATTACTTAGCAACAGTGATTATGTTATGTGTATGACTTGACAACAGTAACTATGGTATGTGTATGTCTTGGCAATAGTAACTATGGCAACTTCAGCGAGATTTCACCATCAACATCCTGCTCATCACTAATTTAATTTGTTTCTCAAAACTAGGAAATTATTCTCCAGTAACACACCACTCTACTTTTGCTACCGACGGTCCCGTGGCCGCGGAAGATTCCAGACCATCTTTCCCTACAGCAATAGTAGCCAGTGTTATTGGTGTTCTTTTGCTATCTATTTGTCTAGTGATTCTTGCGTGTATATGGAAGCAAAAGAAACAAGGTGAGAAGCCAAGAATAACTCTCAAAATTCTCTTATTTCATTATAAATATTTTCCCGTGGTTATTCATCAATGTCATCACTTCTGACCATCGTCATCATCCGCGTTATTTTCATCATATCATATAATCAACCATTTGTTCATCACATTTTTAAATCCTGAAAAACTGAACAGTTATACTTATCTGACCTATATTTTTTGATCTTCCAGAACGAAAGCCAAGGAAAAACGTCCAGTAAGTTAGTAAATTTACATGGTTTTAGCAAATTAGCATCCTTTTTTGAAAGAATAGTCAGTAATTATGAGATTTAAAAATAGAACCGCGTTAGAACAGGTTTTACTTCTATGTTGGGGGTAGCATGTGATTCAAAATTTTACAAAAATTGTACAAACGTTTTATTTTAGTATAAGTAAAGCAATCTTTGACATCGCAGCGTCTGACAGTTTGATACAGGTCCGGAAAGCAGTGCTACGAGCCCCCTGAAATCTCTCTGCTCACATTAAACGAGGAAGATATAACAGAGTGGAATTTTTGCTAACATTGGATGACCTTACGTCATAACATCCACGTGACTATATGGCACCTTACAAAACGATATCTTTTCTCATCTCTTTTAGCTTAAACAAAAAGTCTCGGGTGCCAGTAAAGCTTGAAAGCAGTGTATCATCCAATATCAACGACTTCATTGCTACAAGTGAAGTCAATATTGTCAGTGACAACGCCTCGCAACCAGAACCTGCTTATGCTTCTATAAGTGATCAGAAGACCGTAGTCAACGTTACTGATAGAACAAATAAAGAGGCTGTGTCAGTCTATGCTTCCGTGCATAAAAACAAAACATGGCCACACCAAACAACCAATCAGGCAAACCAATCTACATCACACGTTATATATGCTGAATTAAATGAGGCACAAAAAACTGTCAATCATAACAGTTGCCATGGAAACGAAGAATCAGATAGCATCAGTTATGACAATGAAATAAATACAATGGGTGACCTGACCAAGGTACATTCTCTTGCATGTGTGTATGTTATGTGAGAAGGTGTTGTAAGCTTGTTGTAGCAACCTATCGACCAAAAAATTGAACAAAAAGATCCTATTTATAAGATCATTGCTAGTCATTAACCTAGTTATTCAGAACCTCCTTTTTGTACAATTTAGTAGTCTTATCAAAATAGGCTGTTTTAGATTGGTTTTGTCTTTTGAAGAAATAATATGCAAGCTAATTTATTACTATTGATTATTAATTATCTTAATAATTTATTACCTATTAAATATATCCTTTGATATATTTTCAGGATAACAGATTAGTCTATGCAGAGCTTGCAGAATTCAAGGATAGTAGTGAGCAGCGGCAGAGCTCAACAAAGATGCCATCTCCTTACAAGGCCACAGAATATGCTACTATCATGAAACCCATCTTATGCAACCGTTCCGAATCCAATGAGAACATAACTGCAATATAGCTACGGACGTTTGGTTTAAAGTGATGAATACCCCATTTTACAGTTCCGTTCGAGTGACCACGAACAATAGTTGCAACTCGAGGCTGCAGTTTCCGCGCATAGCAAAACTATACTTTTTATCATGCGCGGAAACTCCAGCCTCGGCTTGGAACGGAACTTTAAAATGGAGTATTGAAAGAAAATGGGATAATATTTTAATAACATTATTTCTGGTTGCAATAGTTGGAACTTATGAAAAACAATGAGTATTGAATGATAATCGCAATATGAAGTAAACAATAGTTGTGACAAAAATACCCCCAGGGGGTGGTGGAGGGGAAGCCAGATGACAGGCCAACTTAAATACATAAAAATTACAGTAACTAAAAACACATAAAATCAGCAGGAAGAAAGTTCAAAACCAGAGAAAGAAAAAAAAAAGGGATATTAATGAGTCTTACTAAATAAGCTTTTTGATAATAACAAATTATTTATAAACTCGAACCTTCTTAAGAGTTCAATGTACATAATTATTCATTGCGAATAATGCTCAAACATTACCAAAAATCAATAAAATAATGACAAGATATTGTAATATATCATTCTGGACATACAATAGACATAATAAAGTCAGCTAGTTTCAGTTGTTTTTAGTTTAAACAACGCTGAATTGAACGCTGAAGCTACAAGTTTACAAGGCTCCATTTAAATTTTCAACTACACGAGTTTACTTACCTCCTACTTCAAATTGCTTCAAAATATCATTAGCTGTATAGTTCAGTCTTCATTAAAGCTGTGTGTTGTCATTTCTCGACTGCTTTCCTTTATTTTGTTTTCCTACAGAGGTTTATATTTTTTGCAGGACAAACAACATGGCGACTGCTGTTGGCGATGTACGTCTTGGGACAGATTAAGTTTACATTTCCCGCCAAATGTGACGCACGTGCGCGAACACAAACTCGTGGTTTTTATCTCAACTTTTTTTCCCCACCTATATATTACTTTGTTTTAGATATTGTAACTTTTCTTAAAAAGTTTAATATTCACAGGATACCGTACGAATAACCAGTGTGCTTATTAAAATTATTGTTTTTATTATCTTTATTCAGTGTTTTTCCGTAACTTTTTAATGACGTTTTCTCAAAGTGTGACATCAATGAGAGAACTGAAGAACTGACAGCTTTATCATTTTGGAAGTAGCTAGTTAAATACTACAAATTGCTAAGGCAAAAACGAATATATTAGGAATTTTATCAACAAAAAAATAAGTTCCTCGCTTTGTACGAAAATAAGTTTAAAGCCCTGAATTTAATATTTCAAACATTTTTGAATGCTTGATATTTACACTTGGGTTTTAATGACCTTGAGCTATTTTCAACATTTTATTTTTGTCATATCCTGTTGAAACTCTTTCGTTTTGCATCTTTGACCAACACAAGGCCGGTCAACACTCTGTATTATCTTAGTAATTCCCCTTTTTGTTGAAGTCTTACCGGCGTTAATCTAAAACGTTTTTATTCTGATTCACGCAAAACCGTTTGAGATTAAAAGCTAATGAACGCAAGGCATCTTAAAGAATTTTATTCAACCGTCAGTTTGGTTTCACTTTGCTGTTTCGAAGCTTACAGTGACTGTCAACCGAGTTACCAACCAACAAGACAGTACCAGACTTGAACAACTTGCGTCTTGTCCTAGAACTTCCCCGCTTTACATCTGAAAAAAACTCTTATTTTTATTCTAGTTACAGTAAATGTTTGTTCCTAGCTAGTGAAGTAATACTCTATGCACTATGAATGTTTTTGGTGCCAAAATTGTCTTCCTAGTTGTCGTGGTGTTTTGGATATTACCAGATTTTACGGGTAAGTTTATGCCTCAACACATGTGTGTCAGTACTTGAGATGTTTGCTGTAGCAAGGTTTACGCGAGGTCGTACAAAAGTCGTCAAACTTTAAAATCTTTAAAAGAAATGAAAATAATTTAAACCAACGTTTTTATCTTGTGATGTGCCTCAGTTCTCGTGTTCGCATGAACTTTTGGGTGAAAGAGAAATATAAATTTGACCAGACGCTTTTACTAATACCCTGTGATTTATCACCTCTCTTGCTCCTTTTTTCTAAGGAAGTAAATGCGAAAATAATTTATATTTCCTTATAGTTTGCATAACTTAAAATATCTAAAACAAAACATAAAATATCTAAAAAATAGTTAGAAGGTAGCAAAAAGGTTCCTTAGGGTCCCCTCCCTATGCAATTAGTTTTGACGCCAGTTTTGATGCCTCCTTTTTTATCAGCTTCAAATATGGACATGTGTTCTTGTTACTCGTTCCATGGAAACTCAAGCTCACGACAAGAAGCACGTCAGCACTGCAACGATGCAGAGGGTGATTTGGTTTCTATAGAAACTGACGTAGAATTGAATTTCATCCAAAAACAGCTTCAGAACGAAACAACTAAAAACGGAGATAATGAATGGTGGATTGGACTTGAGAAGGAAAATGGAAAATGGAAATGGCTGAGTAACCACACTGATCTGCAAATTGATGAGAACTTGCTGGTGTCAGAAGGTGAAGGAGAAGCATTTGCCACTATAGCGCACAACTCATCATATGCTTCCCAATTCCAATTTAATGTCATCATTAATGACACCGTCGGCAAAGGATGGATTTGTGAATACGAGAATAAAGGTATATAAGGCAGTACAGATTATATCACTCTCTTGTGATTTTGTGCTATTTTAGATATTTAAAGGTGATTAACGTTGATATATACTTACTGTCTTAATTTGTTCTGTCATTCCTTAAAGATTGCAACAACATTAGAGGAGCCAATGTCTGTGAACATGTGCTGGTCAAGACTACTATTACTACCACTACTTCAAACACTTATAGTACAACCAACAAACCAGCCACAACAACTAGGATAACAAGTACAACAGCATCAACAACAACACCACCAATAACAGGAACTACAAAAACAACATCAACAACAAAACCAATAACTTCAACAACAACACCAACAACAACAACAACATCACCAACAGCAGCAGCAGCAACTACAAAAATAAAAACAACAATGACAACATCGACAATAAAATCCAAAATAACGGCTACACCAAAAACAGCAAAATTGACATCAGCAGCACCAACAACAGCCACTACAACTGCTGCAACGACACGAAGAAGACCTCCCTTTATTGGTACGAGTCATAGCTGTTTAGACGGAAGTTAGTCGCCCCCAAGCTATCTTTGCTCGGTGTTTTTGATTGGTATTTTTTTAAATTCATCGCAGGTTTCCTAACGACCACGGCATCCCCTGTACATGAATGCCTACCTGACCTGTACCTAATCATTGCCATATCTGTCAGCATGGTTGGTCTCGCTACTGTAGTTTCCTTTACTGGTTTGTTTCTATTCGTCGTTTGTAGGAAGAAATGTTTAAAACCACAACCATCAGTGTAAGTATAGGAAAGGCTCGTGCAATTACAAAACATCACTCATCATATACATGAATTATACTCGAGTTTGTGCGATTTTTCATTTAAAGCACATATCGAATTGGTCGAAGCGAATGCATTTATCTGAATTTAGGATTACTAATTGTGCTGTTGATCATAACCGATCAGAATCAAGTAATTTTATTTAGTGTACTATAGTGAGGTATATATTTACAGCCAGTGAGATGTAAAGCCTGGAGAATTTATTGGACAGTTGCGGTTATAATATTCATAATCATGGCTTATTAATATTAATTCGCATTAGTATGTAATTTTCTATCTAATGGGTCACACTTACTTGATTTGTATCATACTTTTAAAGAGAAGTGGTTTTTTTTTTTGTTTTTTTTTTTAATTTAATTTTCACGTTTTTATTCACTCAAAATGATTATTATCGGTTTTTTTTGTGTGTGTGTACTAATTATGCTGCTTTTCCTCCTCTTTTTTGCAGTGAAAAAATTGAAATGGAGGAAGGGGAATATGAAAACCACCTTTGATGCGCTATAAGATCAACAACATCTAGGACATTTGTGAGCTGGAACTATCCAGTAAAGAAAAACAGTTATTCAAATGGTCTCAGTTTAGTCCCGGTAATCTGTCATCGTTGACTTCATTGACTGCTTGGAAGAGAGCTATTTGCCGCTCTTTAGTTGTAACACACACACACACACACACACACACACACACACACACATAAAGCATACACGCAGTCCCATAACATATGGATGCATTTAACAACTAGATCTTATCCTTTGCAGTTGAAACTGTTATCAATAAGTTTCAATGATGTATCACATGTATATAAATATATCTCTAATTGCTAAGACTGAAAATACTTCATGGCAATACGCATGCGCATTACAAACAGACGTTCGTCATGACGTAATGTCGATTGTTAATTCTCATCTGTATTTTCTTAAATGGTTTTTGTCTCTAAATTGTTTTAATTGTTATAATAGCTTAGCTTGGATAGATTTTTTCTACTTCAGTAGCCATATGCCCTTATTTTCATTCCTTTCTGGATATATTTTGATAATGGACGGAGGCTGATTAGAAAAAAGAATACGTCTCAAGGGAATGACACGTGGTGTGGGATGGGAAGGAACTACATACAACCCATATAGTTTAATTACAGGCTATTCAGTATTTTAGTTGAACACGAACAGTCGTATTGTAAAAACTCATGTTTGGATTTGGAGTGTGTTACGGATGTCTCAATGTCAAAATTAAAGGCATTCAAATATTATTCGATTTATATTTTGTTCTTGCCCTTTATCATAAAATGCTCTTGAATAACTGATTAAACCCAAGAATCTTTGAGAAATGTGCTTCGATTTGAGCCTCGTTTCTTTTGGTCAGCATCAACTGAATGGGCCGAAACTCCGCACAACCCGAATGCTGTGCGTTGGAGCAATAAATCGAATCGCGGTTTTTCTAATTTATTCAAACTTCATTACGATTGCTTTAGTATTTTGTCTTGGATATCATCCAACAAAAATTGTCGAATGAATATATGCACGGTTTGTCCTGCTATTGGCCCATAGATTCTTTTTTTGTCATCAGCAGAAGTTCAGCGGTGACGTCAGTACCTTAAGAAATCCTTCAGCATTTTAGCATGTGGTTAAGAACCTTAGCAATTGTTTGAAAGGTATTTTGACACGGTGAAAATTATCCGATACGAAACTGAAATGTGACAAACCACATCACATGCTGTATCGTTATGGAATGACTATGATTTGTATGTAGATGATGGTTAACACACTGACTTAGTATAAATCTGCTCAGTTATTATTGCAAGAGAATTCTTACTTAAGACCACAACCATAATGAGGCTTTGTCTTGGACGTAATGCAATATGTTTCTATATCGTGACTGTACTTTGTTTGGTTTGGATATCTGGAGGTGAGTAAGTAAAGATATGACATCGATATTCAAATGCTTTATCATTAGTTATTGTGCTCGTGTTGCACATTTCAGGTTCAGCCCAGTGTTCTTGCTATACGTTTCATGGAAAGTCTCTCAAATCGTGGTCTGAAACTCGAAAACTGTGTACGGATAATGATGGAGAACTGGTTTCTATGGAAACATTAGAAGAATGGGAATTCATCAAAACACAGATACAAAATAAGAAAACACATAAAGATGGTTACAATGAATGGTGGATTGGTCTAGAGAAGAGAGATGGAAGATGGGTATGGTTGAGTAACCACACCCTGGCATACAACAAGTGGCAATACAATAAACCTGAACCAACTAAAGACATAATTCATGTAATAATGTCAAAGAATTATCCACCAGGTACCTATGGGCTATTCCGCAACAAAAGAAGTAATTCGCGAAAAGGAACGATATGTGAATACCGCAAAGGAGCAGGTAACTGAATATTTACTTTTTCTCTGCCCATTATTTAACTAAAACTATCCACATGATTACCAACACCTCCTTACTTATTAAAAACGCTCAAGGGAATGCAACACAAGCAACGTGAAGACTAAAAGAGAAATTAGAGATACATACATACACTCACTCACACCTTGGTTGCATATGGTGCATCACTAGTTCGGAAAATCAATGATGCTCCATCTGTTTTCTTTTGAGAGGAAGGATTTGTTTATACAAAATAAAAGATAACAAGCTTTTTAAAAATGGTTCACGCTAATCATTCATAACAACACAGTTTGTTCTGGACATGCAGCCCAACATCGTCAACCACTATAACAACACAACACCCCGTCACCAAGAGGTCTGTGGTAAAAACAGCTACCAATACCCCTTACAACAACAAACCAACACAACATGCAAGTATGACATATCAACAAAACACTACACCGATACAAGTACACAAGGAAGGCGATACCATAACATCAGGTAAGACGTTTGTCACGTCAGCAAAAACTATATTTCCATAAATTATACCAACCAAGCTTTGGTCTCTGGTTGTAAAAACCACAAACCTAAAACTGACTACCTTTATTTATTTTTATAGCCGAGTCCGATACGAAACTATCGTCCCTGACATCATAAATAATAAAATAATAAATATCCAATGTCAGTAAAAGACCGATTTTTTCGATCAGTTTCTCATTTATATTGACATGGATATTTTTCTCGATTCCACGTAGATCATCAGAAGCTGGCTAACACAGACTGCTTACCCTACCCCCTGCTAGTCACAGCGATATTTGTTTGTGTGCTTGGTGGTCTGACTGTACTTGCTACTGTTGCCTTCTTCCTCGTCCCTTTCGTATTGAAAAAGAGCCAGTCTAGTGTTGTCTAATGGATTACAATGATGTGGATTACAATGGATTACAATGATCCATTATTGAAGATGACTACTGACATGCATGTACTGTGGCCTTAACAATGTTACGGYGAGATATCTTGACCATGTGTTCACTATAAACGAGTGGACACAAATGACACAGACATTATCAGAGATGAATTGAAGACGACTACTGACATGCATGGTCGACTTTGGGCTCAACACTGTTACAGTGAGATACCCTAACCATATTTACTGCGTACACTATAAACAAGTCGGCACAAAAGACACAGTCATTATCAAACTGGGTGTATTCAGTGAGACAATAAAGATCGGAAGGAATGAATGTTGCTAAGGAACCATTCTTCATTTTAAAATTAATAAAATTAAAGTGGATCGTTCCTGAAAATATAAATGGAGCTGTATCGTAACTATAATCCAGTGGTGTTTAATTGTCGTAAGAGAAGTTTTATTGAAATGAAATGACTCAGTAAGTTTGAAGAACCAAGAAAGATTTTATCTCTGAAAATTATCGTGATGTGCTTCAGTATCAAGTCTCTCCTGTCGTTACACTTAGTTCTAGAGTTACTAACGTACATATGTCTTCCAAGTTGGCATGGTATTTTCATCCTTTCCCTAATACTCGTGCACCACTACTTTGCTCTGAAGCACTCAAAAGTGAAAATAATTTCTTAATATATATCAGTCGTAAAGCCAAACATACTTAATTTCAACGGCACTTCCTTAAACCAGTTTTATTCATAACGCTGATCACAAGACTTTATCAATTAGTTTACGGTTTAGTTTATTTGTCACGATAATAATGGAAAAAAATCGAGTATACGTACAGATGGTAGGTAAGTTTGCTTGACAGATTTGTACAACATGATTAATGTGCTTGGGGAAGGAAGCAGCAATCGTCTCCCAATTGACCAAAAGTACTGAAACGAAACTTAATTAAATTCCAATTTGTGAAAAATATATGTATATAAACCTAACCAACGTTTTAATTTTCAAGCAGGTTAAAATTATAACTGAGGTGGCTGATAAGTGGCATGTTAATCTTAATTCAGGCTGGAAAGAGGTACTTCGATGTTACATTGACATGCATTTGTGGCCCAGTGCAACCAGCAACTGTCGTATACAATATGTATATAATTATGCATCATGAATAATGGTTATAGTTTAAGGTCTATCTGTTGAGGAAATAAAATACGAAAACAAACTAAATTTGAAAAAAATCAATATCCATAGGAACTGCCTCAGTGGTTTAATGGTTTCACTTTCAAGGCTGAAAAACAAGTGTAATGAATCTCTGTCAAATCCTATTTTATTTTATCTGAACTAATCTGATTATACGGTCAGACGAGTGTAAAACCACGTTAAATCATTGCGCTAGAAAAGTCTTATAGCAGAATCTAACATTTTTGAGGATGTGTATATAGACGACGATCAATAAACCAGAGTAGATAATACCGAAACATCCCGTATCATCACGATACAAGGAAGCGAATCTTCCTTGTTTCACTTTTCGATCATGAGAGATCAGTTACCACATATACTAAACCATTAGTCAAAACAAATATTTCTGTTGTTGAACTATTGTCAATTGTCAGTCTGAGTCACACCTCTCTTGCGAGAAAACATCAACTAGTCTTGAGAATCTGAATAATTTTTCCAGTACCCAAAATATTTGAATCAGGTGTGAGAACATGAAAGGATCCTCCAGGAAAACCGTTCATTTTGACCTACTGATCAAACATGATTCATTTATGTACAGATAATTTCCAGTGTTCGTGCTATACATTTGATGGAAGACCTAAGTCCTGGTCGTACGGCAGACAGCAGTGTAGAACACAAGGAGGGGACCTGGTTTCTATGGAAACGGTAGAAGAATGGGAGTTGATCAATACACAGATTCAGAATAGAACAGCAGGGAACTTTGATGAATGGTGGATTGGTCTTGAGAAGAGAGATGGAAGATGGGTATGGTTGAGTAACCACACCCTGACATACAACAAGTGGCAACCACACGAACCTAGTAATAGAACGAACGAAAAGTGTAGCGTCATGGCAAAGAATTATCCTGCAAACAAGTATGGACTTTTTGGTGATACTAGATGTGATTTATGGAGAGGATGGATTTGTGAATACAAAATAAAGGGTAAGTAAACACATTATGCTTTTTTATGTCTGAGATAAAAATCTTGAATACTAAAGAATATCATTACTTACATTAGTAACGGCCAACTGCAACGAAACTCAAGTAAGTAGGTGTAGTGACGAAACGACTCCCGTCACATCGATAACCGAATCAACAACAACACCTGACCAGAAAACAAAACTAACTAGCGAGTCAATCTCGACAACAGTAATACAACCTACATCAAAGACAACCATGACTTATCCAAATGTCAAGGCTTCGTCAACAAAAACAATGACAGATAAAGAAAGAATAGCAACCAGTAAATATTCCATACCAACAACACCATACCAGAAAGATACAAAAATGCCAACAACTACAGAAACAGGTAAAATGATCGACGATTTCATTTCTTAACTGCGATATTTATTGAAATAGGAGAGATTCAGTATTACTATTACTAATCTTGAAATACTTTAGTATATTGTTTGAATTCATTGAATGAGGTATGATCGTATTTAATTGCTATGTGAATATAATGTATTAAAATTGTAAAGCATTGTTGAACTCCCGGAATTGACGCTATATAAAATATTATTATCATTATTATTATTATTATATTCAATTTATTATTATTAATAGTTAATTGAATTCTATTACTAATATATATATATATATATTATTATAATGGCATTGAGATTATGAACTTTAAATTCTACAGTTTTTCATTTTATTTTTGTTTATCATTATCTTAAAATATTAAGCATTGGAACTTTAGTAGCTTTGGAGCGAGTGTATTTCTATTTCTATATACACATACAATGACTGTTTAGTTAAATAAAGTATTATTATTATTATATATTATTATTATTATTATTATTATTATTATTATTATTATTATTATTATTATTATATAGTGGAAAATAAGTTTTTCATTTCCTAAACCAGACAAAACGTCATGAAATTGAAGGAAAATGAAGCCGGTGTCAGAATTCTAATTTTAAAACAAAATTAATTGTTTTAGAATTGTTCAAAACCTTTTTGCAAATAATAGAAATATTTGATTTTCTGCAGATAAAGGTACAACAGCAACAGACGTCTCACTTACCACGAAGAAGCCTCTTCCAACCCTGACTATYATCATTGCCATACTTGTTGTTGTTCTGGTGGTGTTTCTCTGCTGTGTAGTGCTCTGTGTCTATGGATGGAATCTAAAACGAAAAGGTAACTGCACAATAAGATATGTTATGTCTAGTCATATTCAAAGTATGTGACTATTTACATGAATATTGTTATCTCCTTTAGGAAAACCAAAAACAAGAGTTAAACAGTAAGTAATAAAACTATATTATACAGATTCATCACCACTTTGAAAAGTGAAAAACATAAAACTCAATCTAGTACCAAGACCTCAAAAAATAACGAAACCGAGTAGATCTTGGTACAAGATTGTAAGCACCATATGTATTTTACTAATTGGACTAAATATTTGAATATATTATATGCTCTGTGTTACAGCGATGAGACAAACACTGAGCACAACACCAGTGACGTCATGGCAGGTTCATCCAGCGGTTTACAAGTAAGTGAACACGAACTGAAAGTCATTGTCATCCAGCCTAACAACGCATGCGCACAGAAGGATAGTCACGCAACAACACACGGGAATGCTTTAGACAAAAGTAATGCTACCAAAGAGGTTACTAGCTGCCTGGTATCTCACATCATCCATGATGCATTGGAGATGCGTAAGCATAACAACATGACGTCACTCGAATCAACTGGCAAAGATTCCAGCCAAAACAAAGATAAAGCTGACCACAGCAACCCCACTGACAAATCTCCACAAGAAGAAAGTGACTTACCACCGGATGATACAGTCGACAAAGAGAACACTAAAGTGCCAGACATCTGCGCGACTGTCGGGAAGTCAAAGAAAAAGAGCAAGATAACAGAGGTGGTTTATGCAGAAGTGAACAAAAGCATTAAAAACACAGTAAGTATCGATAAAAAGTTAAGTAATAATAATATACACCCTCAAGACTCATATGTATCATGCATGGATTTGTTGCAGGCGGATCAACGTCAAGATTTGGTTACATATGCTGAACTGGCAGAGTTTAACCATGATGCAACACAAAGCGTTCCAAAAGTACCACCACCCTACCAACCCACAGAATATGCTAGTGTCTCAAACATTACAGTCAGAAGCCAAACCAAGTGAACGAACCACACCACCACCCTACCACCCCACAGAATATGCTAGTGTCTCAAACATTACAGTCAGATGTCAAACCAAGTGAACGAACCACACCACCACCCTACCACCCCTGACCAGGTGTCATATTCAGGATTTTACAATAAGAAAACAATTTTAAGAATTTACTTTGAACATATTTACACAAATTAATAGTTCGCAAAGCGGAAAATATTTTCTTTAATCAGTTGCCAAGTGACAGTGTTTATAGAATAGTGATTAAAGAGATAGTAACTGATTTTCACCGGCTCTTTTATCTAATTACACATGATATTAAATAGTATAAATCTATAAGACATAGAAGAAAGTTAGAACGAGAAGAAATATAAAATGAAAAAAGGAAGACCCGTGGGCATTAATCAAATCTTTTGTTAATTAAGGGGGTTGAATTAATTGAAAGTACAGGAAGTCCGCGATTGTTGTTTTGTTTTTCTGTTGTTGAACCCATTAATCATTAAAGACATGCCTATAAAAAAGTCTATTTTCAATTTTTTCGCTATGTGATTCGAGAAAATATATTGTCTGATTTGGGAATTCCACAAGATTTCTCTCACCGCGGTGAAAAACCGATATCGCACGAATCGAACCTCTGGCTTTCGGTAAAATTCAATACGAAATCCTCTCTTAAAAGGCAATGAAATTAATATACATGATGTCATACTGTATACAAACGACCACGTTCAATAATTTTGAAGGAAAAATACTTTTATAAGGTTGATGAACAGCATGAAGCTACATCTCAAGGAATAACGTTGCGAAAACGTAGGCGGAGGGTTGTTCCATTTTCAGTTTGCTAACTTACTTTTGAGTATAGTTTAATAACGAGCAGGAGTGTGATAAAACACGATCTGCGAGTTTATTGAACGACTTCAAAAATTCAAGAATAATTGATGAGCATTTAGGGTCCTTATTCGTGACATGCTCTTGTACTCTTTTGGTCTTTTAAAAAGATTTCAAAATCTTTATAAATACAAAGATATCCATGTTGAACTATCATCAGGTATAAAGATCCATGCACGTGATGGATTTGAAGGACCTGATAAGTCTAAATGCTTATTAACTATTCATTAATTATTCATTATTTAACAATTATCATAAGGAAAATAAAGAACAATGTTTTGCTGAAATACTGACGTCACTGCAGGTTCAAAATGAGATATTTACATAAGTTGTTGAAGTTTTTGTCTTGTAAACCTAAACAAAGAGCTCAGCTTCAAAACAGAGTAGTCTGGTTTGCGGGTTAAGTTCCGATTTTGAAACAGTCCAGTGTCTGTCGATGCGCTTCTTAAGGACATTAAAAAAGTTCAGAAGAAAGAAATCAGTGTTCGTAAGTCATGAACATCAAGCATGTGTTTGAAGATGGAGCTCTTTTTTATTTTTAGCTCTAGTGTTTGCCTCTTGATGCGCAAGCGCAGTACATTAATCTAATACATCGTCTTATTTGCTTTATAAACGAGATATAACATGTTAAATATCGAAAAACCTGTTATAGCTAAAGATAACACTTAAACCTCATACTGGGTAATCAGTTGGCCTCTGCCTTTTAGCTGTATACACTACTGAGCACCACAGGGTTTACAAGAGTCTTGAAAAAGAGAATTAAGGTAGGAAACTTTTTATTCAATTCTCCAAAAGATATTTCAAACTTTGTACTCGGGTAACTCTTTTTTTAAGATATAGTTTGTTTTTTCCCTACTAGTGATTAAGTAAAAGTCAGAAAACACCATTCAAGACATCAGCCATGAAGCTAATTCTGATTGCTGCCGTTGTTTTTGGGTTTCTTTCCCTGGTTTGTTTCCAACAATCAGAAGCTCATCCCATTGCTTGGTTCGCACGTATTGCTGCTACTCTTTCCATGAAGCTCATCAAGAACTCCTACTATGCTCGTTGCAATACCCGCATTGTTCCTTCTCATTTGAAATGCCCTGGCGTAGTGTTCGGATGGGGAATGAGCCGTAATGCAGCCCAAAAAGCAGCAAGATTATATGCTGACGCAATTGGAGACACGGGATGTGGTCAATATGTTGGCCATTGCGATATTCGCAAACTCGTCAAAACAAAAGGAAAATAAGCGGAGAAAACCTCTGAACTTGAAAATGATTCAGTTAGAATAAAGTAAAGTAGGGTAAAAAGAAAAAAATGAATAATTGATTGTATGAAGACAAATAGAAGTTTAAAGCATTAAATGAAGTAGTCATTACTTGAATCAATAAACACTTGAGACCACTCTTAGACTGTTAACCTCTTCCTTGATTTGGTGTTGTTTCTTTGGGTCCAGTTCTCCGGTTTTCTTCCGTCCGCAAGTGAGTTAGTCGTGCCCTGACTTAGATCATAGGTTGTTTTAGAGTTCAATCTATAAGATAGCCGTACCTTGACTTTGATGACCTTGATCAGCCTAGAGGTTGTTAGAAAAAAAGAAAAGAAACAAAGAAACAAAGCTCGACAAAGCTGATCACCACCGCAAAGTAGAGCACCGGGGTCGAACTGAAACCATGTGTACGATTAGAGTTAAAGATGTTAAAGATTTCCATGTATCAATAATATGAGAAAATATCAAAATTCCTTGTCTACTGAAAATAACTGATTTTTCTTATACAAGACCTATCCTGTTTAGATGTTATGAATAATGCCGTAGGCTATCAAACAATTACTCCTTGAGAGGAGGGCAGAGGAAGGAGAAGGGTTAGGTAAACTAGCTCCTTTGCACACTATAAACCCACTCATAATGATATCGAACTAATACGTAAAATCCCTGCATTATTTAACTTTCGAAGATTTCTCAAAAAACTGAATTGCAGTCGATCGCAAGGTACGAAAAAAAAAAAAAAAAAAAAAAAAAAAAAAAA